GAAAAGAGGGGGGGGGGGGAGAATAAAGGAAATTAGGGTAGGATAAGGCGCGTTTGTAATAATACGTTATCACTCGTCAATTTTAGTCCCCCCCCTTTAAGTTAAAGAGAAATAATTTCGAGGTTATACGGGAAGAATCTTCCGTCGAAAAAAAAGGACATTTAAACAGCTTTTGGGAAATTATGTTTGCGTTCTCGGGACGGAGGACTTTGAAGGGTGTGGGGCTTTTCACTTTTTCTTTTTATATAAATTCTGATTTTTTTTTCTCTTTTCCTTATCAGTTTGCGAACGCACACGAAGGTCGTACCGGAACAGTCACTTTTTAATGGATTTGAATATTCGCGCCTCGTCGCACGTAGACCGTATGTACGGATACTTGAATTTGTATGTTCGTTACACATTGTTTTATTCCATTCGCATTTTTATTAGATTAAATTAATCGAATATCACGCCGGTTTCGGCGAGTTATCACATTGTGAGCAAAAGCACAGCCGCGTAGTGTATGTCTCCGCTTTTGAACCCCCAGCCACCCACTCTTGGTCTTTCAAGAAACAAATTCCCACAATGCATCATCCTTCGCCATCTACGCGTTATTGTCGTCCAGTAGGCAAACGAACGTGGTTCGAACTAGAAGCGCATCGATTAGAAGCCATGGTTGAGTAATGCATAAAAGACAGAGAGGGGATACGCCTAGGAGAAAGAAAAAAAAATGTGAAGAGAGACGCGCAAGCGATCACAGGAAGAGACAGATGGAGGAACGATCGCGGCTGGTACGAGTTCGGGATTTTTTTCAGAAAATAAAATTTCAACGAAAAAAATTTGAAATTACTGTTAAACGAATTGTGGGTAATACGTTTACTGATATACCCCGCAAACCTTTATCGGTCTGGGGCACACACTGTAAGAACAAAAAAAAAGCCCTACGAAACTATGGATATTAAAGTGAACCATTTTTTTTAGATCCCTGGACCATCTCCAGTCCATCGCACTCTATTCAGGGACGTGCATTCATTGAACAATTGGTCAAGGCTTATGTTAAAAACCATAAGGAGCAACGGGTGGTTTGATTTTCTCGTCTGGAACAATAATTCGTTTTGGTATTGTTACGCAATCGGTCGTTCCTATTTTTTCGATTAACCTCAAAATTGTCGCGACGCCGATCGCTTCGACAGCCGGCCGCAGAAGGGCGGTCA